ACTGACTAATAACTATTCAAAATTCATCTCTGAATCGTCAACTAACTTGGATAACCTTAATGATCAATTATCATTTCACGCTCATTTGCTTCCGTCAACAAAAAATTCAACGCAATGATTCATTCAAAATGTTCAATTATTTCCTGAATTTCTGTCTAAAGTAAATCAGTTTTTTAGTTTATCACTATTGACTGGCTTATGTTCGTTGCGATCCAATTCATTCCAAGCCTGTTTTCATGCCCAATGAATGCAAGATAAGTGAAGTGAAGAAACATGAAGAAATATTTGATTTTTTTAAAATACAACATTACGGAATGGTAGAAAGTATTCAATGGATGCTAATGCATATGAATATGTTGAGGATGGATGGGTAAAATAAGTCTTATGTATAAAGAGATAGATATATGCATTAAAAAGTAAAAAGTACGAGGTAAAGAGGGTTTTCTCTCACGTCTTGTCTTATGAAGCACGCACTACACTGCAACAATGCACCCATCAGTTTGTGTGGATTCCAGGTCACCGATTGTGCTCTTTGAATTCCGTCCAGATAGTGTCGGTGCTCTGGCGATAGCAACAAACCACCTCCCCATGCTGCCTAAAGAAATTCGTTGTATTTTATGCAGATGATAAAGCTTTTGTGTGAGGAATCGGCTTGTTCTTGTGGTAGCACAGTGGCCAGCGGATGGTACCATATGACGGCTGATCAATCGCTCACTTCTGATTGTGATCACAATTCATGCATGTTTTCATGAATTCACAGTTATGAAAGACAATACGACTCACATCAACATGGAACCAAATGTTATGACGTTCGCAAACGTTCGCGATTTGATTCAACGGATCCCATGCTCCATAAACAGTTGTACCAGCCGTCGCGCAAACAAAGAATGGTACCAATCCTTCAACAAATAACGTCCTTCTTGGTTTTGTTGTAATGAAATTTGAGTGCATTTTGCCCCGCTTCTATCCTTATGCAGGCAATTTATGAATAGTNTCTTGTATCGCAATATCGAGAGTTCGTTCGGAGGAAATGCAAAACACGATTTTATATGCTCGTAACATTCAACATTAAACGGCTTACGATGCAAAATTGTTCTAGAGGATATATTATGAATTGTGTGAGGTGAAATCAATAGAAACGAGATTGATGGTTACTTGGATTGCTTAGAAGGGATACGAGAGGAACGGGAAGATAAATTCATCTTTCAAAGGATTTAGCCTTAATCACGCATCATTTCACCGATTATTTCATCGTGATCCCTTTAATACCCATCGATACAAAGCAATTTCAAATTGGTTTTTTGTTTTCATTCATTGAGAACACTGGCAATAGCCATATTTTGTTAGAACTCGTTTTTGAGTGCCACTTTTGGGGACGGACGCTCAAAGAAAGAGAACAAATTATGCATGATGAGATTATGTGTGTTTTATGATGGGCGATTATTGTTTTAAAAGATCATTGTTATGATTACCATCTCTTTTGCACTGCAAAATACGTTGCTCGAGAGCTTCTGGGATCATACGACCACGAGAATCAGTCGGTATATTGAAACAGTTATCCGTTCCAATGCCAGTCACTGCGGCAGCTCCTTTGATCGAATAGTGACTCTGCAATATGAGGATTGAGATTCATCGAATAGTGACCAAAGAAAAGATTCATCGCAGAGCTGATCCTGTTGTTTGCATATACAACAATTTTCAGTCCAATAATGGCATTGCATTGACTGTATCTAAAGGGACTGTGAATACAAGCATACATTATATGGGGATCCCCTGCAATTTCCTCTCAGATTACCTAATATTTGAATTCATTCCTCTCAAGCATTATATTGCCGCAGATTATTCGATTAAAACATTCATGAAAATAGCATCACGTGAAAAAATCGAAAAAAAAGTGTTTTTTAATGTTTTCAACAAATCATAAATGCGATACAACGAACATCTTCAGACGTGAACACGCATAAAGTTGGCATATCGCATTGTCCAAGTGGTTTCACTCTTGGAAAATGATGATGTCTAGCCGCATTCATAGCATACAAATTCGCCAGTGCACCACCTAATAAAAATTAATATCTGCTTAATGGAACATTATTGCTGAACGAGGAACCTGTAGGAAGTAGTGATCATCCCTCTCTGTCACTTTTCAATCGCGTTATTCAATTACCATTGGGGTATCAGCTTTTTCAGCTCACGTGAAAATTTTAAACATTTGAGATGATAATTCAGTGTTGTTTTTTTCATCTCTTTTTTTTCGAATATACTGCAGGATTCTTTGTAAATCTTCAGGTGTTTTCCGCAACATATGAAAATTTATGAGGAAGACCATTGAAGTATGAGGAAATGTTTGCGATGCAAACAGTCAGATAGTTATAAACATAAATAAATAAGTAGCAATACCAGGTGCAAATATCGCATCTCCTTCTGGCCATCCGATCAGTTCGATCATTTTCTTAATCACTTCTTTCTCCATCAATATGAACACTGGTGCGATTTCATATGTGAACCTGTTGTAAAGAGTTATGTGCGATAAAAAGCCTAATGTCATTCACCAAATGAAAAATATGAAAAGTTGGTTGAGAATACTGAATGAAAGGAGCCCTATGCTTGGATTTTTTTCAGTTCGACAGACTAGAAATGATGGTATTCGTCGGGTAGTAGGATTGCCAGTGTNGCCCTATGCTTGGAATTTTTTCAGTTCGACAGACTAGAAATGATGGTATTCGTCGGGTAGTAGGATTGCCAGTGTAATTTCTTCATAAGTCCAAAACAAGCAATGAACAGTCAATGCATAAGTGAACGAACATGTTCGTATTGGCAGTTGCAGTTAGCCACTCACCAGCCATCGCCACCAAATCGAGTCCGCATGAAATCTGATTGAAGAATCGAGGATGTCCTGTTCGCACACCCAGTCGCAATACCTCACGACAGTTCTGAATGTTCACCCGATACACTATCAGAAATCATTTATCGTTAATCATTAAATCGCTTAGTTAGTGAAGTATTCATTTTACGATGACATTCATTTAACAAGCTCGAAAGATAACATAGAAAATCACCGAATACATGGTAAGTCAGAAAACTTTCGTAGAGATTCAGTGAATGATCGTATGAAGCGTTCAAGAGCAACGAAATGCTTCATTGATCAGGAGAATATCCGAGTGAAAGCAAAAAAAGGGAAACCTCGATGAGCTGAGCCAACGTTTCAGGATGATCAGGAATCGAGAGATCAATGAGCTGTTGCATTTCTTCAGGATGATGAAAATCCAGTATTTTACTCTTACGATCGTTCTCTTCCTTAATATACTGCAGAAGAACGTCGACTATTTCCTTCAGGAAGTGTTCCGTTTCGTTCCAATTACTCACATTTTGCGGTAGAATATCTGTTAATGATCTCATAAATGAATGGCAAATAGAATGATGCTGAATGCCAACGTTCTAATGCAGAATTTATTTCAGAAAGAGCTTGTCATGAACGACTGAAGCGCAAAGTCGAATGAGAGAGTTGCAAATGAATCGTTGTTTTCTTAGTAATGTTGTTGATTTAATGCGTTTTCATCGGCTGGTTATGAAGTTTGATTTATTTATGGCACTGTTGGCACGATTGTATTTGTTATCTTCGCGGGTTTTAGTTGATCAGTGAATAAAACTTAAAAATTCTACTGCCAATTTTCGAAGTTTGTAAATAGCATTTTGAGTAATTTACATATCGCGATTCTCATCTGAAAGTGCACTTTACAGCGCAAAAATTGTGCTAATTGTGACGTTGCTCTCGAATATGAAGAAATTATTAATGAGTGGAAGAGTGATTTCATTCTTTAGTGTCCTTTCGAATAATTTATTTCTCTCAGTTGAAAATCTCTTGGAGATGCTTTTTGGAATTGANTGATTTCATTCTTTAGTGTCCTTTCGAATTATTTCTCTCAGTTGAAAATCTCTTGGAGATGCTTTTTGGAATTGATTTACTGAGAGTTTTTGCAGTTAAAAATTTCTCTTATGTTGTCTTCTTAAGAAGCACTTCGATGTTATCTTACGTATGCACAAATAGACTCGAGAAAATATCGCAATGCAACGACTGTTGACAGGAGGTGAATCAAGCTGAAGCAGAATTGCGGGAAAGTAGACAATTTTACTTATGATTTACCAGTTTCGAGTTTTGCAACGGTTCATAGAGTTATGTATTTGCTCTTTTCAGGTCAGTCTAGTTTAAGTTACCAACACTATTCGACTTCGAGTAAGATAAGTTTTTATGAATGATGAAACGAGATGGCAAATGCGAGAATGCATCAAAACATGAAGTGAATAGTTCATTAATTGTTTTCGGAATTGATCATCAGTTTATGGATGAAGATAATCGAATGATGAGAACGAATAGAGCGAACGCGGCAGCAATGAGTTTTCATTCGTGCGAATTAACTGTGACTTCGCATCAGTGGCGCAGAGATCACGGAGATAATCAGTGACCATTATGGAATTGCAATGAAAAGCACAGATATATGCCAAGAAAGGAGATTATTTTAAGCAACGTATTTGAGCTAATAATGCACATTGATTGTGCCCGAAAAATTCTCCACCAAACCGGCAATTAGTGTGGCCTTTCGTGACGCTGATTCCAACATTTTCGTTCATACAACAAATTTGATGCAGATAATTTCCACTGCTCATGCATTCCTTCACAAAACTGCAAAAAAAGCTAACGCAAACAGTGAATGTGTCAACTGACCTGTAGCATAAATGGACTGCAAATTAGACGAAGTGTTATGGTTGGATTGTTGCATCTTATCAGTTTTCAGATGTATAGTATGACCGAGTGGCAGTTTGATCGGAGACAAACGCACGACGACGATTCGAGCAAATCCCAATATGTCGAAATGATGCAAACTCACTTTGTTGGGTCGAGATTAAGTCCGTTTAAGATTGAATGTCCAAATTCAGTGCATATGAGAAGATGGGTGTGTTCAGCTATGCTCTTATAAACGTGCATATCATGCAAATAATACAACGTTGCCTAAATCCTACGCTGTCGCCTTCGTTCTCAACAAATAAGATTTCGTCCATTCATACGCCTCCTCCTTCACAAACGAATACGGTAGAAAACTTCATTGTTTATTCGCTATGCACTTTCACTTGTTAAAGAGTACATTGCGAGCGACTCATTACGAATTCATCAATTCACTTTTACTTTCCTGTAATATCCGCCCATAAATCACTATAACAACGATCGGACCCCAAAATATTGCTACATTTTTTGAAACGGAGGCATCTCAGTCAATAACACAGACATCACAATTAGTCGCTAGGAGACACACTGAAGCAATTGAAATTTTGAGAAATACTCAAAAATGAAAATTGAGAAATGATGAATCTCGGGAATGCATAGCAGGTTTTGAAGCAACAGCTACTTTCATTCATAATAAAGTTTCAGTTAAATTCTAAAGTATACTTATTGCAGTGATGATTTTATGGCTCTTAATATATGTAAGAATCGCACTTTTAAAATATGTTGAAATGGTCGAGAGTGCATGTGAGGACATTCAACTTTTTGCAACGATATTTAGAAAGATTTTATGTTTTAATCTGCATTTTTCCAAAATTGTGAGTCATTTCAATCTTATATCAGAAAGAAACTTCCGATTTCAAGCCGTCATATCCAAGTCCAAGATTAGA